TGTATGTATATAAAGTTTTGAACTTACCTCAGTGCCAGAAATCGGGAGCCGGGTGACAGTTGCTCGGCTGAGGACGCGCATACTTCCAGGGGCGCGCTGACGGTGCAAAATGCTCGCATGCTGCATCATTTTCCGTATACAGCGCGCGCGTTCGAAATACGTTGCTGCTGCAATGAATTGTGAAAGAGACAAAAAATTAGACAAGTTGAGGACAAATACTCGATGTAACATCAATAATTGTTTCAGATTAAACTTATATATATCTGAATTAAATAAATAATATTTGACAGAATTATCTGAGAATATCTTTTAAAGTCCAAAACGCTCAATTTAATTTTTTCTCTAAGGATGAGATTGAACAGAAGTAAACAACAAAAAAGTTCTCAATTGTGTAAGCCTCTGTAACATAGCCGAACATCGAATTATAATGACAGGATAGGAAATTATTCATATGCATTTTTAAAAATAATTTCCCAAAATTGATTTCAATTTACTTAAGTTTAATATATACTTGTAATATTAAAAGATGTTTCATAATTAAAAACAGTTTATTATTTAATTTTTATCATTTCACGTAAATTCAATACAGAATCAAAATGTATTACATTAAAAAATAAAAATAAAAATAAAAAATAATCTCTTTTTCAACCGTTCTCATTTTTACTCATTCAATAAAAAATTCAAATTTTTTACATATTTTTTCTGTTTGTGAACTTTTGTAAATGTCTCAAGGCTTTTGCTGATTGCTGCGTGGCTTGAAAATGAAGCGCTGGAATTTAGACAGATGGCGCCGCTTTTTAGACAACTTCATGTGGACTGAAGTTTTGGGCGGCAGAGGGGCTACACAATTTGTTGTTGTTATTTTGTTAGTATATATATAAATATTTTTTTTTTTTTTGTGGCTGGCAACAATTTCACCAATCAATAACGAAAGACTTAGGCGACAAACTTGATTAGGCGGCCGTGCGTGCGTGCGTTGCGCATAAAATTATTAAAATTCAGTTAAAGAAAGTTCCATACACACACACACTCACATTGAGAGCGGCATACTCAAGCTCGCCTCGTGATGAAAGAAAAGCATTTTATGCATAAATTAAAATCAAATCGAATCAAATCAACTTATGGACTAGCCTCCAAATGTCTGTAGATATGTATGTATATATGTAGATATTCATATATACGTATTTGTATCCATGTCTTATATAGATGGTCACTGGTAGCGTCTCGCCGTGGCCGCATAAATTTCAATATTGGCGCATTTCTGTGCGCACCGCAGCTGTCTAATAAATTTCAACGTTCCATAAATTTATTCAGAGTCAAGTTGAGAGAGTTTTAAGCGAGACTATATCTATACACTTATATAGGTATGTATGTATGTACATATATACAAATCCAGGCACTGGCTGTGACTCTGACTGCTGCTGCTGCTGTTGGCCACAATTCATGCGGAACCGCCCTGACTTATTATTATGATCGAGTCTCCCCTTTTGTTGGTCTGCCCCCTCTTTGGCATTTCCAGTTGCCCCAATGTGAAGACCAATCCAAAATGGACACCGCTGCTGCTGCTGATCATCAATCAAAGCTCGCATTTGACATAAATTAGAAACCAAGAATATGTATATGAGTCCACTCTAGACATCCATATATTCCACAAAATAAATATGAAGAAATATACACGCAGACACTATACAGACACACACACACACACACACAAATAAAAAAATACTTTTGAAAATCAATTATATCTAAGCCGATTTTCATGCAACGTGAGTGATACAGAAATAGATTCAGAAACCGGACCGAAGCCAAAATAAAAAGCAAAAAAAAAAAAAAAAGAAACAGAAACAGAAAGCTGAAATTGCTTAACAAATAGCAGAGAGCAAAGGGAACTCCAGAAGATATTTAAATATTTTGCATTTTTGGTATTGATATATTTTAGAGAAACATATTTGTTAACTTATAAATATTTCTTAAAATTATATAAAAGCTTGGGAATAGACTAAATTTAATCTTAAAGCAGGTTTTTAGTAAATGTATTAAGAGATAATTAAAATGCGAAATATGGAACAACTTAATAAAAATAAATAATTTATACTGAAGCTGTTAACTTGTTCAGAAACTCTGGATAAACAACCCAAAGACATTCATGGTTTACAGAGATTGCAATAATATTAATAACAAGTTTTGCATAGCTCTTATTTTCTCATAGCTTCTACCATACCATAAACTACTAAACTAATTATGCAAAAGCTTTTGACTAAGCAGCCAAGCCGGAACGCTCGTTATTTAATTAATATTAACTACAGCACATTTAAGATCTCAGATATGCATAAGTGCGGGCCCCCTTTTCATACTGACATAGGTATATACATATATCAATAATATATCTATATATATATATATATATGCATATGTGTGTGTGGGCATTATATAATGATGGCAGCAACAATTATCATTGTTAGCATTAAATAAGCCAGTAGGCGAGCAGGTTGAAGTCTATTCAAGTGACTCACAGCAGAGCGAAAGAGAGAGAGAGAGAGAGAGAAATTGAAAGATGGAAGAGCGAGAGAGGTAAGAGCTATAGATATAGCCAAGCTAAGTGGTAGAATGTGTTTTCTTAATTTTAAATGCAAACAAATGAAAAGCATTTTAGAATCTCAATCATGGCAAATTATCCGCATTCCAGGGCTATAACGAGAGCAGGCAAAAGACAACAACAACAACAATTGCAAGGAGAAGCAGATAAAGAAATGTTAATTAAAATAGTAAACAGCATTGGTAGCGGCAGGGCGTGCCAGGTCAATTAAAAGAGACGAAGAGCCGCACGCTAAATAACAATTAAACAAAGGTAATAAATATTTAAAATTTATATATGTATATTTAAAGCGAATTAGATAGAGCAGAAAGACAGAACGGGATGGCGCCACATTTTGGTGGAATAACAATGCAAAACGAATAGAGCAAAACAAAACGAAATGTTGCGCATACGACACGTTGTGCAGCGACAGCAGTTGAACTGAATACCCTGCCACAGCAGCTGCTGCTGCTTGGCACCCAGCTCCAATCCGGGGCTGTGTCAACTGCATGCCATTGCAGTGAGCTCATTCGGGGCGTGTGTATTTGTGTATGTGTTTGTCAATCGAGTTGGCGATTTTGTAGCGGGCTGGGGCAACACTTTGATAAATGCTTAAGCCGCATGTGCAAACCGTTTGTTGGCAACGCTTAACGAATCAGAAAATATAAATAAACATATACACGCATACATACATACATACATATATATGTATACATATATGTATGTGTATTTGCAGCTATCTGTATGGATTTCATTTTGAAATTGGCTATGGAATGCACAACTGCCTTTGAGTGTGCACAAATGTTCAATAAATATTTGAAATATCATAAAGCCTCAAATGTGATGAAAAATTAAAAGTGACATCGACTAAACGATGAGTATATACCCTGCAAAATATTATAGCATTGCTATGCAATCTTAAAATATATATACAGACAAAAATGATAATAACATAATATAGCACAAATATACAAACATATGACAATTTATGGGTTATAAAAGAGATGGGTATATTTAAATTAGCTAATTTAACCTTTACATATTGATTGATTTTTAGTAAACAGAGGTAAATCTTTTCATCGGCATCTTGAGAAATCGTTAAATCATGTCTCAATTATGCTAATTTAAAACAAGTAAGAAAGCTCTAGTCGAGACTACTCGACTACGAGATCCCCTGAACCC